GAGGAAGAAACTAGAGTATGAAAGAAATTGAACCAAAGACATAAAAACACTTGTCAATAGTTTCTACAGGTAGGAAATAAAGTGAATGGTGATCTTCTAGAGAGTGAGAATGATGAGTTAACCGTAGAAAATAAGGAAATAGTGGGTGAAATGAACAAATATTTTGCTTCTGTCATCACGAGAGGACGCAAAAAACACTCCAGTAATAGCTGTAGAGCAGAAGGTGAAGGTAGCAAAATTACAATCACAAGGGAAGTAGTACAAAGAAAACTGATGGAGCTGCAGACTAATAAGTCTTCAAATCTTAATGTACTTCAGCCCAGAATCTTAAAGCAGGTGGCTAATGAGGTTGTAGAAGCTTGATGTTATTTTTCAAAATTTAGTAGATTCTGAAAATATTCCATTTGATTGGAAAGTAGCAAACATAACCCCACTATTCAAGGAGGGAGAAAACAGGAAACTATAGACAGTTAGCTTTATGGCTGTTGTGGGAGAATGTTAGAATATCATTTAAATCATTTAAAAAATTATGCAAGCACATTTCAAAAATCTCAAAATATTCAGGAAGAGAAAGCATGGTGACTTCAAGGCAAATCATGTTTAACTAATTTATTGGCATTTTTTGAAGGAGGAACATTACGTTGTGGATAAAGGGGATCCTGTAGATCTTCCATACTTGGATTTCTGGAAAGCCCATCACAAGGTACCACATGAAAGGTTACCGTAGAAAATAAAAGCTCATGATGTAGGAGGTAACATACTAGCATGGACAGAGGTTTGTGGCTGACTGGCAGAAAACAGAGTATGCAAAAATGGGTCTTTCTCTAATTATCAGGATATGATGAGTAGAAGTTTGTGTTGTGGCTTTTTAACAATTTGCACCAATTACTTAGATGAGGGAGCAAAGGCATAGTAGTTGGATTCACTGAAGATACCAAAATAGGTAGGAAAGAATGTTGTGAAGAAGAGGTAGAAAGTTGCAGAAGAATGTAGACAGATGAATAATTAGGCAAACGTTTGGCAGGTGGATTATACTGTGAGGAAATGTGAAATTGTTCACATTGGTACGAAGAATAAAGAAGTGGAGTATTACTTAAATGGAAAACAACTACAGAATTCCAAGGTGCAAAGGGATTTCGATGTTTTGGTGCATGAGTCACTGAAGGTTAGTATTCAAGTACAGCACATGATCAGGAAATCTATGGGGATGCCCTATTTATATGAGGAGAATTGAACATAAAATGAAGGAATTTATGTGGCACTGGTGAGATCACATCTGGATGTGTATGTGGTTTTGGTCTCCTTATTTAAAGAAGGATGGAAATGCTTGGAGGAGGTTCAGAGGAGGTTTACTAGATTTATACTTGGTATGAGTGGGTTATTTTATGAGAATAGTTTCAATAGGCTGGACTTGCTTTCATTGATATGTGGAAGAGTGAGGATAACTTAATTGAAGTGTATAAGAGCCTGAATGGTCTTTACAAGGTGGAAGTAGAAAGAATGTTTCCTTTAGTGGGGCCCTCCAGAACTAAGCATGCACTATTTTAAAATTAGGTGTCACCATTTCAGGACAGAAATGAGGAGATTTCTTTTCTCTCAGAATGTTGTGCAACTTTGAAACACTGACTCAGAGGGCAGTAGAAACACAGTCAGTGAATATTTTTAAGACTAGGTACTTTCTTGGGCAGGGGAATCAAGGGTTATTGGAGTTAGATAGGAATATGGAATTCAAAACTCATACAGCTCAGTCATGACCTAATGAATGGCAAAGTGGGCTTGAGGGGCCGAACAGTCTACTTCTTTTCCTATTTAGTACTTTTGTATGTGATTTGTCATCTCAACTACTTTACACCTCACCATAATGACTAAATTAATACTGCAGAGAGGGAAATCTCAAACTTGTCTCTCTCTACATGAACAAGTCATTTCCAGGATAGTCCACACATTTCGCATTTAGAGATGACATGTATCATCAATAGTAGTTAGTGGTTACTGTTACAACAAAGGGTTGTTAGTCCACTGCTACAGTTCTGAAATCTCTTAATTAGAGGATCATCTAATTTTTTGATGTTGCAAATCTTGACAGTTTTGATAGTAAGCAGAGATCTTTCTCCCAAGTAATCCCTAGGATTTTGCATCTCCTCAATAAATGATGCTAACCTGTCTCAGGACTACAGACCTCCCATTCAGGATCACTGAGGTTGGCATCAAGTAAACTGGCAGAGAATGGTCTCCAGAGAACAATGTCATGGTTAGTCTCACTGCTTTTTGCCAAGGCTATTGCTGCCAACTGTTGCAGAGGGTCAGATTTAACACTTTCTTACTGTTGACAAGAAAGGAGGTGGGAGAACGTTGGTTGGGTCACATTGGTGCAGATCACCTCACCAGCTATGCACAAGCCTGCAACACTGGATATGAAAGACAAGAACAATAGTATAAATGCCAATTTAAAAAGGAAAGTGAGTGAAAGCTTGGGGGCACATTTGTCAATGCCTAATTAATCACATTGTTAAGGTTTGTTCATATCTTTATTAAGAGAAAAAGATGTAGTTATTAATTGTCTATGTGCAACAGGGAATTAACTGCAGATGGCAAGGTATGCACTCCCAGCCTAAACATTTATTTTGCAAAGTTATGGAGTCTGTAGACCACGTACACATTGGTTGTGGGCGGTTGCAGCCCCTTTTTAGCTCCTTGAAAAACCTTTTGTTGTGCTTTCAGTTCCACTTAAAGTCCCTTGCAACTGATCTTTGGGCATCCAGTACAGAAGGGTGTGGAGAAGTTGGAGGGATCGAAGGATCTATTTCCGTGGTGTATGATTTTATGACCTGCCCTTGGGCCTGCTCAAGTTGGCCATTAATAGGTCCAAGTAGCAGGCGGTGGAGGGGGTAACAGTTGTTGATATCTGCCCCTCTTGTGTGGCTATGTTTATGCAGGGGTGTTCATGGAAAGGGAGCACGCTGTGTCTTGATACGTTTAGAGACAGGTGGGCACTACAGGAGGTGGAATGCCTTATTACCCCTTCCAAATCCATTTTGATTTCATCCCTTTCCTCTCGTTCCACCTTTCCCACACATTTGATATTATTGCATTGCCGTTAATAGGCTTTGATTAGATAGAAACATGGGTAATTTAGTGGTGGTGGATAAGAGGTGAAAAGTACCACAGATGATTTGATGGTGGGGAAAAACATTCAGTTGTGTGTAAGAGAACTTCTGGATATGAGAAAACACATAAATAGGGAGTTGGGAGCTCATGTGGTACAGTGGTTGTGTCTCTACCTCTGAGAGGAGGCCTGTGTTCAAGTCCTAGAGATGTGTGTAATAACAGCTCTGAACAGAGTGTTAGAAAACATCCATAAATACGAAGTCAAGGATTTTTGTAAGTGTTCCATCTCTGAGCCAGAAGGGCTGGTTTCAGGTACCATCTGCTCCAGAGCTGCATCATAACTTGTCTGAACAGGTTGATGAAAAGTACCTACACTTTGTCTATGTGTAGTGGTATGTCCTTACCTCTGGACCAGGAGGCCTGGGTTAAAGTCCCATCTGCTTCAGAGATGTGTAATAACATCGCTGAAAGGTTAATTAGAAAATATCCATAACTCAGGAGTAACTGAGACACTGGGCGTGTGATGTGATGAAGGATGAGAGGACTGAGAAAGTCAAACTCTTTACACAAAAGAAACAGTGTATGTCTTGGTTTCAATCTCATCAACGGGCTTTGAATCTCTTAACAATGTTTGCACGCTGAACAAAGGTTTATAACAAAACGACCAACCAAATTGTGTTTAGTCCCATAAATTTAGAGGACCACAAAATAAACAATGAATACAGTATACCAAACAGGAAGAAGTACAAGTAAATTGCTATTTCATCTTGAGGAAATTTTTGGGATCCTAGTCAATTAGAAAAGAGCAGCTGAAAGGATAGGTATTGCATCTACTGGATTTGCATGGTAAAGTTCTGTGGGAAGTGTTGGGGTGTTTAAAAATGAATGAAGCTGTGACAAAAAGAATGATGAAATGGTTACTCCAGTTACAGATGAAGAAAGGTGAAAATGCATTAGTAATGGCATTGTGTTCAAGATTACACAAATGGTGACAGATAACTGATCGAATATAATGGCTGGTGGGGACAATGGTGAGCCTAGCATGGTTCTCAGAGTAGGGAAATGGGTAAAAGCAGAAATGTCAGGAATATCAACCAAATGAAGGGAAAATCCTCTTTACAATGAAGGTACCTTCATTGGAACAGGTATGATGGAAATGGAGAAATTACCATAATGGATGGAGTTCTTACAAGAAGTGGGCTGAAAGTGTGAGTCAAAGGGCACTAACTTTTTTTCCTCTCTAATATTAGTTTTTCATTCTCAGAATGTGAGTTTCATTGGTGAGGCTGGTATTAGTTGCTCATCTCTAATTCTTTTGATGGAGTTGGTGGTGGTGGTGGTGGTATGTCTTCCCCATAAAATGTTTCAGTCAACGTAGTGAGCTAATCCTATGACATAGTCAGTCAAGTGAGTTCTAGGTTCATAGCCCAATGACAGTGAATGAATGCTGAGTACATGAAGGATGTTATTCAAATCGATCAGCTGTTCTATCCTGTCGTACTGTGGTGGGGAATTTGAAAGTAGCTGCTGATGAAGCCTTGGCGAATTCCTACACGCTGTTGGTAGCACACACAAAAGGGGCCGTGTACCAGTGGTGGAGGGGATATTTTGTTTCAGGTCATGATATGATGCTAATCAGGTAGACTACTTTATGCTGAACAGCATCAAGTTTGAGAGTTGTAATTGCAAGTAGACAGCATTCCAAGCATTTCCGACTTACGGTTGTCTGGGAAGTTGATGGAAAATTGAGGGGTGGGAAGTAGCACATTGGTTACAGATTAACTAGCCTTTGGTCTGCTGTAATAGCCATCAGATATATGGTCCAGAAAAGACTCATGGGAAAATAGCGCATAGCGCAGGGATAAAGCATTACCCACTCTCAGTAATTTTACCTTGAGCCAGTGGCGTAATTTGCTTAGTGCTCTCAGTTACGGATTGGCTGGAGATTTCCTCTATGAGTATTCTTGTAGGTTGGTCTTCCTCAGGTGTCCCTGGTGGAGTGCTGCTGATATTCAGTTCAAGTGTTGTTATTTCTACATTTCTCTCATTCGTTAACAAGCTTCCTGTTTTGCTAGTACTTAGTTGTGTCGCACACTTTTCTTCTAAAGTTCCAATTGGTTTATTTTGGCTAGTTGTATCTCCACCTTCATTCTCTTTTTGATCTGCTGAGGTTTCTTCATTTATTTCATCTTGAACGTCCTGTAAGAGAACTCCTATATCTTCCTCCATGTCTAACTCACTATCATCATATGCAGCAGCAATGATCTCAATCTTTGGCCGATAGATAGTCTGAAAAAAGAGGGGAAATATTTCAATTTTATGTTGCACGTTTGAGAACATTATTGTCTCCCAGATATATCTGTTGGCCACAGGGACCCTTTATGTCACTTTGGCCAAAATGGCCATTAATGACACATTAAGTAAAACAATTATCAGAACATAACATTAAACCACATTCCTCGCTTGCAAGATAGAAGCGTCTGGGAGAGGAGGTATTGGTGGCAAATAATCTACTTAGAATTTGTGGCCAACATTTGGCTAAAGGATTTGGTGGGCTCAAAGTGAGTTGGTGGGGGAATGGGGGTGGGGTGGGGGAGGAAAGGAAAGTTTGTTTTAAGAGCACTGGCACCAGTTCTGGTGAAGTTGGGAGCTCTGCATTTGAACCATAAGGAAATGAAAGAACTGGTGGAATGGTTTAATAGTTGGGGGCAAAGATGCAGGGTGGTAAACAGCAAGGATTCGAGTAAGAAAGACCATGGTACGGAAAGTAGAAATTGATGAACGTATGTCAATAAAAATAGTATGTAAAATAAAGGTACTAACAAAGAAGAATATAGTCAATTATAAGTAAGGAAGAGATCAAGATTAAGAATAAAATGGTGGCCAGGGAGAGAATAGGTCTCATTAAAGATCTGCATGGCCATCTACGTGTGGAGCCACAGGAAATGGGGGAGATTTTTAATGAATATTTCTTCTGTGTTTACTGAGGACAGAATCATGGATGCTAAGGAAAGAAGGGAAACAAGTGAGGATGTTTTGGACGTATTACCAGAGAGGAGGTGTTTGCAGCCTTAGATTGTATTAAGGTGGATAAATCCCCTAGGCCTGATCAAGTCCATCCTCGGACATTGTGGGAGGTGAGGGAAGAAATTACAGAGGCTCTTGCAGAGAATTCTGCTTCATCTTTAGCCACTGAAGTTTCGGAAGAGTGGAGGGTGACTATTGTTGTTCCATTGTTTAAGAAAGGTAGCAAAGACAAGCCAGGGAACTATAGGCCAATGAGCCTGACATCAGTGGAAGGCAAGTTATTGGAGAGGATACTGAGGGACAGGATCAACCAACACGTGGATAGCCAAGGTCTTATTAGGGATAGTCAGCATGGATTTGTGTGCCAGACATCAGTCTGACAAATCTTTTAGAGTTTTTTGAAGGGGTAACCAAGAAGATAGATGAGAGTAGAGCAGTGGATGTTGTTGATCTGGACTTTAGTAAGGCCTTTGCCAAGGTCCTGAACAGCAGGTGAGTCATGAAGGTTAGGTCGGGATGGGATCCAAGGAGACCTAGCTAATTGGATTCAAAACTGGCTCAATAGTAGGAAGCTGAGGGTGATGGTTGAAGGTTGATTCTCGGACTGGAGGCCTGTGACTAGTGGTGTGCCACAGAGGTCAGTGCTGGGACCTTTGTTATTTGTTATTCACATAAATGATCTGGGTGTGAATGTACAGGGTGTGATTAGTAAGTTTGCAGATGATACAAAATTAGGAGGTATAGTTGATAGAGAGGAAGGTTATCAAAAATTACAGAGGGATCTTGATCAAGTGGGGAAGTGGACTGAGGATTGGCAAATGCAATTCAATACAGATAAGTATGAGCTGTTGCACTTTGGAAAGTCAAACCAAGGCAGGACTTATACAGTAAGTGGTAAGGTCCTGAGGAGTGTTGTGGTACAAAGAGACCTAGAAGTACAAGTACATAGTTCGTTGAAAGCGGTGTCACAGGTGGACAGAGTGGTGAAGAAGGCATTTAGCGTGCTGGCCTTCATCAGTCGAGGCATTAAGTATAGGAGTTGGGACATTATGTTACAGTTGTATAAATCACTGGTGAGGCCGCACATGGAGTATTGTGTTGTTATAGGAAAGACATAGGTAGACTGGAAAGTGTACAAAGGAGGTTTACCAGAATGTTGCCAGGACTAGTAGGCCTGAGTTATAGGGAGAAGTTGGCCAGGATAGGACTTTATTCCTTGGAACATGGGAGATTGAGGGGTGACCTTATTGAGGTGTATAAAATCATGAGGAACATGGATAGGATGAATGCATATAGCCTTTTCCCCAGCAATGGGGAATTGAAAACTAGAGGGCACAGGTTTTAAAGTGAGAGGAGAAAGAGGACTTGAGGGCAACTTCTTCACACAGAGAGTGGTGTGTATACGGAATGGGCTGCCAGGGAAAGTGGTTGAGGCAGGTACAACAGCAACATTTAAAAAAACATTTGGATAGGTACATGGATTGGAAGGGTTTGAAGGGATATGGACTAAATGCAGGCAATTGGAACTAGCTGAGTGGGCACCATGGTCAGCATGGACCAGTTTGGGTCGAAGGGCCTGTTTCCATGCTGTATTGCTCTATGACTCTATAAAGACTTGAGATGTGAACCGGAATAATTCTAGACAAAACCAATAGCTTTAAATACTAACAAAGATCAACTGGATGTATTGCTTTGTTCAATTCAGAGAAAATAATTCAGGGAATTCATGGAGAACAGGACACTGTAGATTTAATAGCAGTAAATTAAATCTCTTATGAAATTAGAATGTATTAAGATAATTCACAAAAGCAATCAAGGGAGATGAGTCTTTTCACTCAGAATATTCCAATAATCTGAATATGCAGTGGAAGCTGATTTCAAAAACAGAATTGGAATATACACATGAAGGGGGAAGATGTGCAGGAATATAAAGAACTAGGGGGGGATGTAGGAATAATTGGATAGATCTTTCAAAGGTGAATGGCCTCCATCTATGTTACAAATGCGAATAAATCCTGTCCCTCAGAATCTTCTCAATAATTTTCCTACACTGACGTAAAGCTCACTGGTCTATAATTTCTTGGATTATCCCTGTTGCCCTTCTTAAATAAAGGAAGAAAATTGGCTATTCTCAAGTTTTCTGGGACCTCATCTATGGCAAAAGAGGATACAAAAGATTTCTCACAAGGTCCCAGCTGTCTCCTCCCTTGCCTCCTTCAGTATCCTGGGATAGATCCCAGATGTCATAGAATAGAATCCCTATAGTGTGGAAACAGGCCATTTGGTTCATCAAGTCCACACCGAGCATCCCACCGAGACTGCCCTCCCTCCTACCCACCCTATCCCTGTAACTCTGCATTACCTATGGCTAATCTACATAGCCTGCACACCCCTACATTTATATTCTGCAGATGCAGCGTAAACCCTCCAGCTTGGACGGTAGGCCTCTGCTCTATGAGACCCTGCTCATTACCAAGCCGGTAGTAAGCCAGCTGTAAGGCTGCCTCAATCATTTGGAGTTGTTGAATCTTATGTATCCTTGCTCATTCTCTAATATATGCTGGAAGCACGCTGCTAAAATCCAAGTTTCTGAACTTGTTATTTGATATCTGCAGGCATGTGCCATAACTCCAGACAGCAAAGATATTAACGGATACGGGGCACATTAGGTCATGGAACCACTATAATCTTACTGATTGGTGGAACAGGCTAGAGGAACTAAGTTTGCTTGTCAGACATTTGATGGCTGTGCAGGCAGACCATCCAAAAATATAATAAGCTGTCTAAATTCAATTACAAAAAAATACACAAATGAAAGCAAAGTGGAGAGAACGTGATAGTTTACCTTGCAGCTTGAGGTCTGTTCCGGTTCTGATGAGTTACTTACATTTACATCTTCCAGGTCAGGTAGATCCTGTAAAGAAGCAGGAAGCTGGAGACTATAAAATTGAATACAGACATGTGAATCTGGATAAATGTATGATATTTAAATATGTTATTACAATCATACAAGGAATGCAAGGAGAGGATTTTAAATGCATGTAACATCATCTGATACATGAATTGATTAAAATCAAAGAGTAGCAATATATTTAAAAACAATGCTCTTATTCACACAAAGTATTGTGAAGGACAAATTTCTGCTGCTGTGATTTAATACAAGCTGGGTTTTAGACACCACACTTTCTTTATTGGGCTTACCTCCATCGCCATAACGTTGCTTGCCTCCAAACCTACCACACCTCACTGTAGAAAACCTAATCCATCTCTCTGCATCTCCAAATTTGAACATTCAAGATAGCTCTGTACTAACATTGTTAAGAATACCATTTTGAATTCTATTAGTTTGAGAAGCTGAATTCAATCTTAAAACATTGTAAAATAAAAATAAACTAACAGAATTAAAAGTGCCCAAAGCCACTAAAACACAACAGGTTTACATATAGACATTTAGGAGTGAAATCAAGAAACACTCCTTCACAACCTTCTGTTTTGTAAGATTCTGTAATATCAGAAAATTTTTCCAAACAACTCTTTAAATTTTGTGAACTTTGGTCATTTCTGCATTTGCTTTTGACTCACATCAATATATAATTTCCTCTCCTCTTCTAAGCAGATGGTCTCTATGGTGTTTGCCTTTACCAGTTCTGTCACTAGAACCCTCTCAGCAGGCACCTTGTTTGATGATAAATCTGAGAACAGGGATCAAAAAGACACATGTGAAGACACGAGTAGTGTAAAATTACAGACTTGAGCAAGTGTAATGGTTGTCACAAATTTAAGACAGTGACACAGATACAATCAAATAAAAGCAAAACGTTACAGATGCTGGAAATTTGATTTAAAACAGAAAGTGCTGCAAAAACTCAACAAGTCACACAGCATTTGCAGAAAGAGAGACAGAATTAATGTTTCAAACCTGATATGACTCATATCAGACTCAAAAAGTTGACTATGTTTCACTCTCCATAGATGCTGCCACACAGATACGATCATTTGCAACTTCTCAAGTGACATTTACATTGGTGGAACACCATGCCAATGGTTTAAAAATATGGGCAACATACAACCTTGCAAATTCAATATTTGTGCCTTACACTGCCTGTTCCTCACTCTGCTGCTGAATCCCCAAGTCTTCTTATGTTATCTCTTGCCCTGATGACTCCAGAGCACTCTGTGGCAGTATTCCATTTTCTAGCCGCCATAGATCTGAAATCATTCAAATTCTGCCACTAATATTCTTACATCAACTTCTGTTCACCTATCACTTTTGTGCTTGCCAACCTACATTGGCCCAATTGCAAAGGATAGCGAGAAAGAAGTGGCTGATTAGCCAAGTAAACGTTCCTTACCATGCTGTATCTCATCTTGATTAATGTCGACATTTAAAACCTTAAGTACTCTGATTTTTGCCGTTAATCAAATGTTTGCATGTTTCATTTAAAACTACTTTTAAAATACCATTAAGAAGTAATTTGACAATACTTTAACCTGTAATATCGCTGTTGAAGACTGTGCTCTGCAACTGGTCAGAAGTATCCAGTGATGGTGAGAAAATCTCTTCTTCTGACCGCACAAACTCAGCATTACCCCCTCTGTCCAAACTCAATGGTAAAGCAGCTTGGTCTACTATATCTGCATTGGATCCTTTTTGCTGGTTCTCAGTAGCTGTCTCAGTTTTTCTTCCAGCATTTTGCTGCTGGTCTTTCAGGGTCTCCTCCTGGATTTTCACTACATCATTCACAAACTTTTCAATCTTTTGCTGGCTTTCGACACTTGAATAACGGGGAATTATCTCGGGCTCACTGGACTCTGAAGTCGAGTCTTCACCTAGAATTTAAAAAGTGGGATTACAGGGTGAAAAACAAACAAGCTTTTAAAGAACTGTGAAATTTTGAATTAAGAGGCAAAGTGGAGGGGCCATGTGAAAATCTCATTGTAATACCCGGATTCATATAACATCACTTGTATGATCAAACATTCCAACATACCCTATGAGGGTTTAATCAGACAAAAATTGGCAATGAGACGTGTAAACAGGGTACTAACACAGGTTACTAAAAACTTGGTCAAAGACATAGGGTTTTAAGGAATGACTGTGAAGAGGACAAATGTAGATGCAGGGGTTTGGGGAGGGATTTCCAGAACTTAGAGCTTTGACAATGAAAGACACAATTGCCAAAAGTGGGAACGAGGAAACTAGGAAAAGTACAACAAAGCAGAACTGTAGTATTCTTAAAGATCGTAGCTCTAAAGTAGGTTGCAGGGACAGGGAGAAGCAAGGTAATGGAGGGGTTCAAGTACACAGATGAGAATTTTAAAAATGGATGCATTTCCTGGTCAGCAAGTATAAGCATGGTGGATTCTTCTGGTCGTGTTTCCATACCCTCTCTCACCAATATTCTGTACAAGCTTTAGCTTGAGAATTGAGTACTTTCAAACTTGCAAACATTTCTGCCAGTAGAAGGCATTTTAGGAAATATTGCCTTCTCATAGTCATTGTTGACAGAATTAATTTGGCTGCATCCTCACATCAGTACATAAGGCTTTGCAGTGGCTGACACCAGTCCCAAGGTGATTGTGGCACAGTCAAGTTACATTTCACTGGCTGCTGGCAAGAGGCATTGTTGAGGTCATTAGAGAATTCATGTGCCTTTGTTTGTAGAGGCTTTGTCCAGTCAACAAGGTAACAGTTGCGGGGGTTACGATCCAGGGACTGGGCAATACGTAAGAAGTTGTCTCCTGGAGTTGAACATTTTTGTGGAAGAGAGGTTGACGAAAGTGAGCTTTGTCTGTTATACTCTTAATGTAACTTGTCTCCTTACAACAGGTGGAGCACTGGTCCAGGTACAGATCATTCAGTCTAGCAGGCTTCAGACAGCCAGTAAGAGCTTTGCAACCTCCAAGGAGGAGTGCTGGTGGCCGAATGAATATTCCTAGCTGCTAACAGTTCTGATGAAGAGTCACTGGACTCGAAACATTAACTCTGCTTTCTTCCCACAGATTTTTCCAGGCTTGAATTTTATCAGCAATCTCTGTTTTTATCTCTCAGCTGAAGGAATGGATAGGTTGTTGGTATAAACATGGAACAGCAAGTTTGAGAACATTACATTAAGGTGAAGTATTTTTCTGTGTCATTTGCTTCTCTTTCCATTTCAATCAAAAAATAAACACCTGATGGCTAGCATGTTACTCATCAGCTCAGTTAATCTGACATCTTTGGTTATATGGAATAACTTCTGAACAAGAATGAAATGGGTGATCCTATTATATGCTGAGGATAAGTCACAAAAGCTGATTTTGTCACTGGCCAGTCACATAGCCCTCCTTAATAAATTAGGTGAGGTTTAGAAGTGGGACTATGTAGGATATTGCTGGTCTGAATGTTGCTTAATCAATGATGACATGTTCATCTCCAAAGGGGGCCAGATAATTTAGATCAAGTCTTTTGAACAGTTTGTAGCTGTGAACTAACAGGATAATTGGCCCAGGCTTCAGAATTGCCAGTATCTTGCTCATGTCTACAGCCTAAAGTTTGTTAGCTGCTAAGCAGTTGTTGGACATACTGTATATCCTGTACAGCCATAGGTCCAATTTTTTTTAATCCACTCATGGGATGTGGGCATTGCTGGCTGGCCAGCATCTATTTCCCATCCCTGTTGCCCTTGAGAAGCTGGCGGTGAGCTGCCTTCTTGAAACACTGCAGTTCATGTATAGTAGGTTGACTCACAATGCCCTTAGGAACAGTGAATATATTTCCAAATCAGAATGGTGATTGGCTTGGAGGGGATTTTGCAGGTGGATGTGTGCCCATATATCTGCTGCCCTTGACCTTCTTCATGGGAGTGGGCATGGATTTGGAAGGTGCTGTCTAAGGATTTTTGATGTATTTCTGCAGTGCATCTTGTAGATCAAACACACGGCTGCTACTGAGCATTGGTGGTAGAGGGATTGGAAGTTTTGAACTGTTGTATTCCTAGCCAATGACCTGCTCTTGTTAGATACTGTGTTTATGTGGTGAGTCCAGTTGAGTTTCTGGTCAATGGTAACCCCAAGAATGTTGATAGTAGGGGACTGAGTGATGGTAACACCAGTGAATGTCAAGATGCAGTGATTAGATTGTCTTTTATTGAAGATGGTCATTGTCTGATATTTGTGTGGCATGAATGTTACTTGCCACTTGTCAGCCCAAGCATGGATGTTGTCCAGATCTTGTTGCATTTGAACATGGACTGCTTCAGTATTTGATGAATTGTGAATGGTGCTGATTTGTTCATCTAACATACCAGAGTCCATCTGCTTTGATACTTTTTAACATTTTGACGATGAATAATCGCTTACTTGTAGTTTGTAAAGTCAGTAAATTCCGTAGATCTTGGAGACTTAGTCCTGCTGGGATGATAAGTTGGGTTTCCCTGCCTCCCCAAGAGGGGCTGATGAGTGATTTGACATGGCATGGCCTCCCATTGTGTGTTGTAGTTTAGTGAAGTCACTTCTTAGTAACCTGATAATTTTCTATGCTTTTTTGTAGGCATGCAATATATCAGTATTTCCTGCTATTTTATTTGTCTGTCTTCTGATATGGAATCTACAGGCCTTTCTCCAGCTTGCAGAGTGTAATTTTCAAATGGATCTGCCTGGAGACAGTTGACTTAAGTTTCATTGAGATATTCAATATTCTCTGATCGACTTGGGATGTAGTTTATCTGACTTGGAGTCATATGTGGCACAAAGGAAAATGGTTGTGGTTATTGGAAGTCAGTCATCTCAGCTCCAGGACATCTCTGCAAGAGTTCCTCAGGACAGTATTCATGGTCCAACCACATTCACATCAGAACTGGGGGTGTCTGCCAACGATTGCACAATGTTTAGCACCAATCGCAACTCCTCAGATACTTAAGCATTCGATGTCCAAAGGCAGCAAGCTCTGGACTATGTACAGGTTTGGGCAGACAAGTGACAAGTTACATTCACATCACACAAGTGCCAGGCAATGGCCACCTCCAACAAGGGAGTATCTAACATCATTCTTTGACATTCAATGGATCACTATCACCGAATCCTCCACTATCAACACCCTAGGGGTTATCATTGATCAGAAACTGAACTGGACTAGCCGTATAAATATAGTGGCTAAAAGCAGAGACTAGGAATCTTGCAGTGAGTAACTCACCTCATGCCTCCTTAAAGCCTGTCCACCATCTAAAAGACACATGTCCAGAGTATGATGGAATATTCCTCGCTTGCATGAATGAGTGCAGCTCCAACAACATTCAAGAAGCTTGACAACACGAAGGTCAAAGTAGGCCACTTGATTGACACAACATCCACAAACATTTACTCATTCCACTACTGACACTCAGTAGCAGCAGTGTGTACCATCTACAAGATGCACTGTAGAAATTCACCTAGGTTTCTTATTCAACAACTTCCTATCCTTGACTACTCACTTCTAGAAGGACAAGGGCAGCAGATACATGTGAACACCACCACCTGCCAGTTCCTTTCCAAGCCACTCACCATCAGATTTGGAAAATATATCACTGCTCCTTCAGTGTCACTGGGTCAAAATCCTGGAATTCCTTCTCTTGGCATTGTGGGTCTACCTACAGGAAATGGACTGCAACCGTCCAAGAATGCATCTCACCACTACCCTCTCACAGGCAACTAGAGACGGGCAATAAATGCTGACCTGGCCAGCGATGCCCACATCCTGCGAATGTATAAAAGAAAATCTTGAGGGAATGTTATTTCTAAAAGTTTTCAACATCTCCACAAACACATCATAATTTTATGGAGAAAGGGAGAGGTCTCCACAAACACATCATAATTTTATGGAGAAAGAGAGAGGTCTGTGATAGCAGTGTGCAATATTGAGTTGAAACTCCTCTTCTCAGTCACTTTTTTGAAGTTAAACATTGACCATGAGCTTTTGAGTGAGGAGCAACCACAACAGAGCTCTTTTATTTCTATTGACAATGTTGGAAACATGGAATAGGATCCTTGGCTGCTTTTGCAAATTGGTTGGCTATGTGGTTATAAACAGACTCCAAGTCCTGCTTGTAACCATGTTTCCATCTCATCTAAACAGATAAAGGAGCTATAATCATCTGGTCAAAGGACATCAGATGCAAGTTTTGCAGTAGAGACCCCACAGGGCTCTCTTGAATTCAAACACTGGAAATGGGCTTCTCCTAGATTCCCCATACGGAATGATGTGACTCACCTAGACACTGGACAGTAGGGCTCACTTGAACCACCAAAATGGGGCTTCATCCTGGACCTGCAACACAGGGGAGTATGGCTCATGTGGAATCCCTGATACAGGTGCGTTGGCGAGCAGAGAGGGTAGGCTCACCTAAATGTCTGACAGAAGGAGTTTTCTAAACAGCTTTCTTTGCAAAAGGAGTGATTGGATAGTGCTTTTTTTGTGGGATAGCAAGATACAATTTATACTAGCACTTCTGGTGG